GATGCGATCAACTGATAAGATCGAAAATTTTAAAGGTAACAGACTCCCCTTCTTAAACTCGAGCTCCTGCGAAGAGGACTAGAGACGCTTACTCAACCCTTAGATGATAAGCCTTTAATCGATTCCTATGGACCTTCTTCTTCAAAACTCTATCATCAAGAGTACAGAGTTTATAAGCTCTTTGAAAAACATCGTGTATATAAAAAGGGCCAGTCTATTTTTCCTCAAACTTGCCCTTTCGAGTTCCATCTAACAAGAACCTATATACCAAGACCTGGTCACCTATGTGGTAACTCTCGATGGTATGTTGACGATCATGATGGTCTTTCTGTCTTTGTTGGGCCTTGGAAATTCGTCGTTGGGTATTAAGAACAACCTCCTGAATGTTTTCTAGTAACAATTTAGTTCATCTAAGGAAATTCTCTTGTAATTCGGCTTCAGTGGAAGTGGAATTTTCGGAGTTAACTCGTCGACTTCTCTTGGCAAAATCGCTTCCTGACTATATATAAAAAAAACAGCTCGTAGCGAGTAGTCGAATGTTTAGTTGTCCGGTATACGAAAAGTGCTAGAGAGACATATCTGTTCCATTCTCCAGAGAACTGGATGGAACATTTGGGCAGGACTTCACAAAGCATCCTATTGAAACGCTCAACCAGACCATTGGTCTGGGATGATAAGTGGACGAGTAGTGGTGATGAACTATCAACTGGTGACATATGGCCTTGATTAGTTTATTATCAAAATATTTTCCCTGATCTGATAGAAGCTCTCAGGGACTACCATGATGGCAAAGAATATCGTCTATGAAGAACGAGGCGACGGATGAGGCAGTAGCATAGGAATGGCATGAGCTTCTGGCCACTTAGTAAGGTATTCGGTAGCTACAACAATATATCTATTGCCTCTTGGTGTTAGTGGTAAGGGGCTGACGATATCGATCCCAACTTTGTCGAAGGGCTGTCCTACTTTAATAAAGTAAAGAGGCTCGCGAGTATGGGGTCTTCCTAGTCGTTGACAAGTGTCACAGGTCTTGACATAGGCTTTAACTGCTTCTCCCATTTGGGGCCAAAAGTATCTAAGGGAGATGCTCTGAAAAGTGGAAAAATAGTTGAAGTGTCCGGAAAGGGGGTTCAAATACATACTAAAAAGTACAGCATCAGTTTGGTGGGGTAGTAATACTCGTAAGAGTCGGTGAGGTTGTCTTCTATGTTTTTTGTATAATAGATTATTGATTATAGTAAAATGTCTAGTTTGTGTTTTAATTGTTTTTGATATAAGGGTTCGAGTTCATCTTGATAAGTTGGGTCGCTAATATAGCGAACAAATTTTCGATAGAGTTCTGGTTCCATAGTATTGTTTGAAAGAGATGATAAGAATTAGCAAAATAGGTAAAAGAATAAATAGTAGAGATATAAGAAGAGAAAAATAACGGTGTTAAGAAAGGATAGTCAAAAATAGGAGAGATTTAAAAGTGATGTGGGTTCAGAAATACGAGAAAGACTATCAGCATTCGAATGCTGCCTTCTGGGACAATGTACAATGGTAAAGGTGTACTCTTGTAAGGCTAAGATCCAACGTACAAGTCGACTCTGGGGAAGCTTTTGGCTTAACAAGAACTTGAGAGCAGAATGGTCAGTGATCAAAGTAAAGCAGAATTTATGGAGGTACTGGTGAAAGTAAGAAATAGACCATACGACGGCCAAACACTCCTGTTTAGTGACAGAGTAGTTTCGCTCAGCGGCCGTCATAGTTCTGCTAGCGTAACAGATGACCTTCTCCCTTCCTTGATCGTCTCTTTGGGAGAGTATAGCTCCGAGAGCTATCCCAGTAGCATTGGTGAAAAGAAGGAATTCTCTCACAAAGTCGAGGTATGCCAGAATAGGAGTAGAGATGAGTTTCTCTTTCAACGGCCTGAAGGCTTCGTGCTGCTTGTTAGTCCATATGTACTTGGAATCCTTCTTCAGGAGTAAATTCAAAAGAGCGGCTATCTTGGAGAAATTCAGGATAAACCTCTGGTAATAAGAGGCTAGGCCAAGAAACCCACGTAGCTGTCAAAGGGTCTTGGCCACTGGGAAATGCTAGACAGTCTCTACTTTCTTTGGGTCAGTAGAAATCTCCTTAGACTCATAATGTAGCCAAGAAATTTAAGCTCCTTCTTGGCGAAATGACATTTTCAGGGACTGAGTCGTAGACCTGTCTTCCTAAGACGCTCGAAAACTTCTCTTAAATGTCGGAGGTAATCGTCGAATGTCAGAGAGAAAACGTTGATGTCGTCAAGATATAGGATGAAAAATTTACCATTTACACCTTGAAAAATAGCATCTATAAGCCTTTGAAATGTGGCCGGAGCGTTGGTGAGACCAAACGGCATAACATTGAACTCGAAGATGCTGAATTGGGAAATAAAGGCAGTTTTCCCTCTGTCCTTCGGCTCCATTTCGATCTGCCAGTAACCACTAGCAAGATCTAATGAGGTGTACCAAGAAGAATGTTTGAGTGTATCAAGGAGTTCATTGATGCGAGGTAAAGGATAGCTATCCTTCTTTGTAACGGAGTTGAGGCGACGATAATCAATGCAAAAACGGGTCTTATCCTTCTGTTTGACCAGGATGATCGGGGAGGCCCAGGGGCTGACAGAGGGCTGGATGATATTCTCTTCGAGCATTCTATTAATTTCCTCCTCAAGAAATTCTTTTTCCTTGGGGGTTATATGGTATGCCCTTTGCTTGATCGGAACTGAATCACCGGTGTGAACACTATGGGTAACTAGGCTGGTTTGTCCTAGATCCTGAGTTGTCCAAGCGAAGAGGTCATCATTATTACTGAGCAGCTTATACAACTGATCTCAGTCTTTCTCTTCAAGTTTCCCGATATCAATCTCCGGCGCAACTTCCTTGACGTTATCAAAATAAAAATTATAAATCTCGTTTATCCCATCCTCCAAACAAACATCACTGCTTTCAGATCCTTCACCATCCACGTCCCACAATCTTCCTCTAACGAGGCGACGGGGAACGAAACATCATCTTCCTCAGAATAACCAAAAAGCTAATCCTCTAACTTCTCCTCTTCGTACTCACTTTCTGTCTCTTCATCTTCTGACTCCAATTCTTCATCATTCTCTTGCGGCTCTGTTGTTCGGGAAGACTGTTCTTCTTGAAGTGGTGTGTGCTGTAATTTGTGAAACTCTACAGGCACGGCAGTCTCCTTGCCTTCCTATACAAAGATCATGTCAGATCGAGTATAATCGATCTTGGCAATGACCTTTGAAAGCCAGTCGTTCCCTACAATGGCTTGGTAGGACTGGGCATTAGTGACCACAATGTTAATGGGAATTCTCACTCCTTCCACCATGAAGGGGAAATCAGAAATCTCTTCAATAGCCCTTCTGCTTTGTCTGTGGATGTTGATCATGTTGATGGTAGAGGGTCTCTCTACCTTAATACCAATGTCCTGGAGAAAGTGAGTAGAGACTACACTACTCGAAGACCCACTATTAATAATAAGGGTGATGACTTTCCCCTTGACGGACGCATCACAGTACAGAGCCGTGGCTTTTGCAGTAGGGTAGAGATTAGCAAACGCCCGACCTTTTCTTTTAGTGGCCTTCTTCTTTTTCTGGAGGCCTTTAGATAGCTCAGTACGCATTGAGAGAACAGCCTTCAACAACTGACCGATGGTGATATTTGCAAGTTTGTCCCTGACGTGGCAACAATGGAGTAGAGGGAAACAAGAGCAGAAATCTGTGGGGGTTCATCTTCAATTTTCTTTCTACGGGTGACTGTTGGCTTAGTATCCTTCTTTTTCGCCAACTCGCCAGTTGCAGGAGCTTTTGGTGCTTCTTGTAGGTCAGGATAAATTTCTTGGGACAAATCTTCTGTAGTTCTCTGTCGCTTAAGTCGGGTCGATCTAATGGGTCGTTCTCGTTCTTCTATGATATTTTACAAAGTATTCTCGTCGTGAAGGGAAAGCTTGTGACTTATTCCCCTGAGAGTTTGCCCCTACAAGATTAAGGAGGGTTTGTATCGCATTCTGAATATCATTGTTATTGGGGGCGTTGTTTTATTGGGGGGTGGTCGATTGGTATTTTGGCCGAGGAGAGTAGCATTAGCTCCAGTGGCGACATTCCTATTGTTGTCTCTTCGAAAGGGGTTGGGGCAGTCTCTAGCGAAGTGCCCATTCTGTCCGCAACGGAAACATGGACCTCTGGAACCACTGTTGTTCCAGCCATTCTAATTCTTTTTGGAAGGTTCCCGGTCCTCCTTATACTGGGCCATCATCTTATCAATGGCCTCGGTTAGCTTATTAATAGCCTCTTCAGTCTTATTTTTATTTTGGTCCGGCGTTGGGGGACAAGTATTGGGGGGAGTAAAAGGTGAAGAGTAGAGGAACGTTGAAGTTAGATAGATTTTGCTTAAAGGCATTCTCAAAAGCCTTTGCCCTTTCATAGGTAGCAGTGAGGGTCCCAGGCATAAAGGGGGCGACGGACACAGCGAGGTCAGGTCTTAACCCGCTAATAAACATTTGGGCTTTGGTGGTGTCAGGATACTGATGTCCTCCTGCCTCCACGCGTCGTAAAAGTTCTTCTAAGGCTACATGATACGTGTTGACGTCCTTACCGGGGTACTGTTTTCTCTGTGTGAATTGGGCGAACCATTTGCTTTCCAGGGCAGGGGTTCGAAAGTGGGCGATGAAGATGAGACAAAAACTTCATCCTTGGTTCTGGTCATCGTCCTATTGATCAATAGCAGGTAAATGTTGCTGCTGTCGTTGGTTCCTAATAGTGATCCACCAAGTGGCGGCAGCACCCTTCAGTTTCGGAATTACCACAGGAATCTTTCGATTGTTCTGAACTAAATTAGCCTCAAAGGCTTTTTCCACGTCTTCCACCCAAGTGATGGGATCTTGTTCACCACCAGAGAACTCAGGGTAGGTGACTAAATTAAGCTCCCTTTGCTGTGCGGGTATATTTATTTGAGGAGCCAGCATGTTAATCTGCGGCACAGGGGCCTGCTGCATATAGGCAACGAGAGCTCAGATCTGTTACGCGAGGTTATCAATAGGATTAGCTTGGTTGTTTGGGTT